CTTATAGTTTACAATGTGTTTCATAAAGGGCCAGCTCAGCACTAAACCAATTTACAACCTGCCTATGGAGCCTCCAAAGAGGATTTACCTCTCATCTCAGTGGATGTAGTCAAGTGCAGAGTTAAAGCGTGATGTCTCCACATTCTGATCTACAATACAGAAAGCACACAGACTGCCTGCCAGAGCCAGCCCAGAAGCTCACACCTCCTTGCGCCTACCCAATAAGGACATACCTGGAGAAAGGCTCTGTCCTATAAAATACGGCACATCCAGCTACATAGATTAGCTACACTAAGATTCGCAGTGGAGGCAGTTGGTGGGCCTATGCCTATTTGGTTGCAGGTTTTTTGGTCCAAGATAAAGTAATCCTTAAGTCCCATTTACAAAGAATTTTTTTTTTTGGCTGACTTAATATGCTTCTGTATTTATTTACACTGGAGCTTGGTTAGTTTGGAGCTGGACCTGAGGGATAGCCAAACATATGCCTTTAGAAACAGTTGAGTGAGAAAGCTCCATCCCACTCTACACATCTGACTATAGGGATGAGTCATGGGGTAAATGAGGAATCCTGCATTCCTGGCCAGGTTCTGGCTTCCCCGAACCTCTGATTAAAAGTCACCTTGCCTACTGAGGCTAAGGGACTTGGAGGTATATTCTCTCACTGCTTCTCAGACTAACAGCCAAAGTTATGTCAAGTTTGTTTGTTTGTTTGTTTTACAAGCAGGCAACAAAACTTATTGAGGAAAAGAAAGAGGTGTACGGAGCCAGAGCAAGATAAAGACTTATAGAGGAAAATACGTTCATCATATACAACAAACGAGCTCCCTTGTTGTGGCAAAAAGGGCCTTACTTCAGGTATCTGGAAGATTTTAGCCTCAGTCTCATTTGGTATAGCACTCTGAGTAGAGGGCATTGATCTACGATGCCATGTGAGCAAGGGAAACCCAACCGGAACTTCCTACGACCTTGCTCACTTTATCCCATTCATTTTATATACCATATAAATTTTACCAAATCTCGTTCATGCCTGGGCTTCCACTGCTGAGGGCAGTGCCTCACTCAGGAAGAGTGTGCTCAATGTAGGCTTACTGTGAACATGAAAAATAAATCATTTCCCCAATGTAGTTTATTTTTCCCCTTCAACCAAAAAATACAGGGTGTTAGATCAGGAGACTATCATGCTTTCACATTCTAGGATTACGGAACTGAGGTATATAAAAAGGATGCTGAGTGAAGTGGTTCATTCCTGTAATTCTAGAACTGAGGGAGGCAGAGGCAGGAGGATCACTTGAGTTCAGGACCAGCCTGAGCAAGAACAAGACTCCACATCCACTAAAAACAAAAAAAATTAGCCAGGTGTTGTAGCAGGCACCAGGTCCCAGTTACTCAGGAGGCTGAGATAAGTGCATCACTTGAACCCAGGAATTTGAGGTTGCTGTGAACTAGGCTAATACTATGGCACCCTAGCTTGGGGCAACAGAATGAGACTCTGTCTCAAAAAAAAAAAAAAAAAAAGGAAAAAAATCTTTTGGATATAATACTTCTAAAGTTTTCCTTGAACTTGCCACCAAGTCTTGGCATAATTCAGGACTTCACTCACCATCAGACCACCAGACACCTGCCTAGTCAAACAGCCTAAGTGGAGTACTAATGTCCTGAGAAATTTCCGTGGGTATGTGGAGTCCAGTGGTAGCACTGAGCCAGATGCTCAGTCTCAATGACAGGGACAAACTTGGCACTTTCCAGCCAACCACATAGCTGGACGGGCTATTACTGCAAATGGTCCCTTATCTGGAATTGATAATACACGCAAAAGAGTGGTTTCCAAAACTCCAGGCCTGACTTCCTTATCACTTCTGGCTCCCTTCTCGTCCACCTGCCCCACTGCCAACATTCTATTTGTGCAGTCAAAGCAAGCTCCCTGACGGCAAGAGCCATCTCTGGCTGAGTAGTGTCAACCAGGCAAGCCCTTCTTTAACACTGGCACAAACCTAAAGGCCTCATTTATCTTGTCTCCAGACTTTGGGCCTGGAACACATATCATGTCGTTCAGTTTGTGTTTTACTTTCCAATATCACGCAGACACCTCAACTCATCAGAAACAGACATGCAAGCAGCAAAAACACTTTCCTCCAAAGGCACCCATGTCATTCCCATTTACGTTCTGCACCAAACCAAACCACCGTCTCAGCTTCCCCCGATGAGCCTTCTCTGTTTACATTTCATCATCAAGCAGTTTGGACTTCGGAAACAGGCACTGTGGCACAGGGGTGGGGGAGAACATGAGCTGAGGAGTCGGCAGTCCTGAGTTCCAGCCTCAGTGCCATCACCTGTGGCCTAGAACAAACCAACGAAGTTGTTGGAGTCTTCACTTTGTCATCTGTAAAATGGAGAGAATACCATCTGCTTCTCAGAGAGGCTGAGAATAAATGAGATACATGTATAAAGGATTTGGGGTGTAGTCATTGCTCTCTATATACATACATATGTATCGGCTATACATACATCATATTAAATTGTGTCCATATATATTAGTACTTTTTAAAGTTTATAGTAAGCTATCTTTCATTCAGTTAGCCTGTCGTGACAGAAAAAATAATATCAAAAAGTGATGGCACACAGAAAAAGAGAGATATTTGAAAGAAGAGAGGCAACTGAAAGCCATTATAAACAGAATATTGTACAGAGATTATTCCTTTTTAGTCCAACTGCAGCATGTGGGCATGTCACTGATCTCTGCACCCCCACCCCACCCCCAGTAGTGTTCTAAGTACCCTGCCATGTTTACTGGGCTTTAGTACCTGATGTCTGTCCTTTAGATATGGCCAACAATCCCACTGGGATAAATACTCCTTACAACAATGTCATGAGATCATCCCTTTACACATTGTCAAAGCCTGCCCTGAGGACTCAGGGGTGCAGAGTGGGGATGGGAAAGACAAAAGACAGTTCTTCCCCACCCTGGTTGGGGGTTATGACACAGTCCTGATGATCCCTGCCACACCCTCTGAGTCACCCTAAAGATGATGGGGTCCACCTCATGCTATTCCATGAATTGAAGTGAGGACTTTTTATTACAGTGAGCAGAAAAATCAGAAATCCTGTTTTGGTTATTGCCTTTAGACTTCTTCTAAGTCTCAATATTAATTTCTTTTTGTTTTTCATCTGCCAAATTTAAACTATCAGGTTTTCAATTGTAAATCCAGTACACAATTTTTAGGTAAACTGAGTTCGAAGATTTAATTTAAAAAAAAAGTAACTGAGCCCTCTTTCAGTCAGTTAGAACAACCTACCCTATGATTACACTGACACCTTCCTTTAAGCACCTATCTCATGCTAAAAGGTACACAATGCCTTGAGATTTAATCTGAGAGTGGACTCTATGGCGAGCATAATAAGCAGGTGTGGTGGAGGCACCCAACAAACATGTGGCAGGTTCCAGCCCAGGATGCAAGGCCCTGCAAAGGGAAGCTCAGTGAGAGCTCTGACTCCACGGATACTAGGATCAGTGTTCCCAGGGTTTTCCTCCACACAAGACTGTCAATCCGGGTCTGCTACCCTAAGAAACACCCCTACTGCTTATCATCCATCACATTTGCTTCAAAGAGGCAAACCTTGACTTTGCCTTTACTACAAATGGGCAGAAAAGAGTTTCTGAAGAAGACTGGGGCTTGCCTCATTATAAATGCGAACAGCAACAAACTTTTCTTTAGTCTCTCTCTTCCTCTTAAAACACACACACACCCAAGGAACCAGAGTGTCTGTAGGATAAATTCTCAGGCCATAGCAACTGCAATGCCCTGAGATCTGAGCAGTTCTTGGCTGGCCAGGCGTTAAGCCCTTTTGGGGAAGGAGACAGCAAGCCTGCCTTTTCCCTTACACAGCCCTGCCATGAAAACAACCTCTTGTTTTCTGTTTTTGCTTGGTTTTTTAACTAAGAACCTCCATCCTCCCTTCAGGGATAAAAGATAGGCATGAGAGGCTTATAATGGCTCAAAAGGGTTTCATCTCAAATTTTCTTCCACCTAACTTGACCCTTCACCTCAATGTTTCGAAATAAGGGGAGGAGATTTGGGGAACGAAGAGGATAAGTTTTAGGTCAAGGGTGGTCTCAGGCTTTGACAAGGTACGTGATGGAGGACGACGTATAGGGCATGCCCCAGATGTGGAAGCAGCTTGAGCCGTGAAGGAGGCTGCACCACCCTGCAGGTCACCTGCCTAGCCACAGGGAAACGAGAAATAAGAAACACTGGAGAAAATGCATCTTCCTTTATACAGATCTCTTTCCCTCCTCCCCCCACTCTAGTGCCAGCGAGCTGGCTGGCTGGAAGCCGGCGCTTTGGAGGCGCCTGAGAGTGGATCGAATCTAAGGGTTCTGTTTGGCGTGCAGAGACTGGGACCCACCCGGGCCCACAAGGGGTCGAGAGGGTGAAGGGATTGAGGAAGGGGGCGGCTCGCGCCCTATTGGGGAATGCACCGCGCGGAAGCACCGGCAGGTCCTCAGTGTCCAGCGCGCACCGGTGCCATTCTCTCTCTGCGGTAGCATCCCGACATGACACTGCAGCTGCAACAAAGCAGCGGCCACCGCTAGCCCTCGGCGCCTGACACCGCAGCCCCTGCCCCACAATGAGCGCAGGGGCAGCGGCCACGGGTGTGAGGCTGTGGGAGTGGATTTGGAGGGTAAAAGATAGGCCGAGCTGGGGCAAAGCCCCGAAATGCGCAGGAAACCGGGCGGCCGCCTCTAGCGCCTCCTCCAGCGCAGCCAGGCTGCAAGAAAAAACAATTCGCCTTCTGCCCGAGCCCCGGCGGAGCCCCGCGACTCCCTCGAATGACCTAGTCCGGGCCCTCCGACATGCTGCCTTCCCTCTACCACCTCCGCGCCCCCGCCCCGTCTCAGCCCCGCGCCTCCCGAAGCCCCGGCCCCGGGACCCGCCCAGCTCCCGGACAGCGACTCCCTCTGCTCCGGCACGGCCGCAGCCACCGTACCCCCAAGCGCTCACCAGGAGAAGGGAGCCTGCGATCATCGTGGCTCGGGCCGGGCAGGCGGAGCGGCTGCAGGAGGCGAGGGTGGTGCTCGCAAAGGTCCCCATGGCTGAGCCAGGGGCTCGCAGGGGCGCCCGGGGCGCGCGGCCCCACGGCAGCTGGAATCGGCGGCTGCTTCTGCCCAGCGCCGCATCCACGGCCGCCTCCCGGGCCGGGAGCCCATCTACCTCCAACACCCCATGTGCACTGCGGCAGCTGGCAGCAGGGCAGAGGAGGGAGGCGGCAAGGGAGGCTCGGGGGCGCTCAGCACCTGTCCAGCGGCGCGGCCGCCCAGGCGGGGAGAAGCAGCCGCGGCTGCAGCCGGCGCCTCCCGGCGCTCTCCTCCGACAACGGCTTCGGAGAACTAGGGAGGAGGGCTGAGCGCGGGAGAGCAAAGGAACAACTTCCCATAGCGAAGCTTCCAGCCACTGCCCACCACCGTCCTCCGCTGCCTAGACCGGCCGGCGAGGGACTGAGTCGGGTGGCCACCGGGTTCGGGGACACACGTGGTGGCGCCGAAGGGGCGGAGGACCAGCCCTTTGTGATGTCACCGCAGAGAAGGCTGGGCTCTTTGTGCGGTCGGAAAGGCGAAGGCGTTCCAGGTAAAGTCGGGAGGAAGAGGGTGCCCCTTGGCGTTCGCTGAAGAAACTGCATTTGCTTGCTGACCCAGGGAAAGCGCCGTGAAAGCGCTCACATGCCTCACCTAACCTTACTTCTTTTTTCCAGAATAATTCTAGGTAAATTATTTCTCCAGCTGACTCCTCTCTGTTGCTTCTGATACGAGTATTAAAAACAACCAAAGACCACAGAGCACTTACATCAACTGCGTGACCACAAAGAGACTTGTTCGTTGCTCCTTAAACTTTGTGGCCCATTGGAATCAATCACCTAGAGAGTTTAACAAGTATTTATTAATTCTCAATTTCAGAAATTCTTATTTAATTGAAACAGGATGTGGCCTGACCTAAGTAATGGAATTTTTAAAGTTCCCAGGTAATTTTAATGTGGGGAACTTTAAGACCCCCCCTGAATTAAAAGAAATTCAGGAGGAAAAGAATTCCAAATCCAGAATCGCCAGTGTTGGGACTGTGGCTGGTCTTTGAGTGAACTTAGGACTCATTAATTGTGTGAACAGATGCATTTTCCTAATTAAAGTATTCACAGTTTTGAATTAGACCATCACCAAGATTTTTAAAAATCACTCCTCCTTCCAAAAACACAGTTAAAATTGTTTGAGTTGGGTTCCAGAAGCCTTAGTGGGTTGTTGGTGAATAGAAGAGAGGTCGGTAGCACTCCGCTTCACAAGGAAGGACAGCTGCGATATTGTCCTGCATGGTTGGCACCTCTCACACTTCTGTACTTGAAGAAAGGCCTGTCACCCCTTGTTTGCTTCTCCTGGGGGAAGACAGCGTCTGCCTGGCTGTGGACCACCATTGCTGGTGCAGTGTTGCCCATTATCTAGGTTCTGAGGGCACACAGCACACTGTACCATGTCTCCATGCATAGCAATTTCAATTATTTCTTCATGCCCTGGCACAATGGCTCACAACTGTCATCCTAGACCTCTTGAAGGCTGAGGTGGGCTGAAGCTGCTTGAGTTCAGGAGTTTGAAAGACCAGCCTGAGCAAGAGTAAGACTCCATCTCTACCAAAAATAGGAAAAAAAAAAAAAACCCTACAAACTAGTTGGTCATTATGGTGGTCCCCTATAGTCCTAGCTACTCCCAGCTACTGGGGAAGCTGAGGCATGAGGATCACTTGAGCCCAAGAGTTTGAGGTTGCTGTGAGCTATGATGACACCATGGCACTTAACCCCAGGGCAACAGAGTGAGACTATGTCTTAAAAAGTAAAATAAAATAAATTAATTAATTTCTTCAAAAATTCTTCAAATGCGTATCAATACTATTATAAAGTATCTTTTTTTCTTAATGAGGTAGGGGGAGATCAAAGCCATTTTTATTTAGTTCATTTTACTCCTTACATCCAAATTGACGTTTTTCAAGGTAACTTCTGATTGCTTTGCTCCATAGAATTGTGTGAATTTAGAAGTTGAGTCACTATGCCAGAACAAGGAATCCTTCTCTCTCTCTTTTTTTGTTTGTTTGTTTTTGTTTTTTTGAGACAAGTCTCACTTTGTCATCATAGCTCACAACAATGTCAAACTCTGGACGCCTCAGCATCCCAAGTGGTGGTGGGGGGCGTTCACCACACCTGGCTATTTTCAGAGATGAAGATCTTGGCTCTTGTTCAGGCTGGTCTCTAACTCCTCAGCTCAACTGATCAACCTGCTTTGGCCTCCCAGAGTGCTAGGATAACAGGTGTGAGCCATCACACCTACAAGGAATCCTTCTTATCTACTTGTCTTCCTAAAACCTAGAAGAAAAATGACTTGTGCTTATGCCACTTTGAAATTTCATGAGTTTCTGGTGTGGCATTGATCACATCAAGTTGAAATTGAATAGACATTTGAGAGATGAAAAAATTCACTCAGTTGTGTTTACTATTAATGTTTAAATAAATGCTCCTCTCTCTAAGTGGTCGATTATAGATAATTTGAATCTAGATGAACTGCAAAATATTATTACTTTGAATTACAATATATAAATGCCTTGAAGTAAAAATGCTTCAACCATCGATTAATTCACTGCTTTGTTTTCAGTGTAGTAATTTAGACATGTTTATTTCTTAGAAAGAATAAAAATTCAGTGATGCATAAGGAAGTTCCTTCCCAAGTTTTAAGGAAAGGAAAGATTTGTTGATACATTATAATTATAGCTAAAATCAAAAAGCCTCGTTGGGATTCTAACCTGTGGCCTCTGGTCTATATGCTGATTTTTGTGAGGAATTTTTGCTCATCTATCATGTCAGATAGCAGGAAAAGAATACCTGGACCTTTTTTTTCTTCATCAGCTTTCATCAGTGTTTGTGTATTTTCTGTGTGGCCCAAGACAACTCTTATTCTCAAATGTGCAGCAGAAAAGAAAGAGATTGGACCCCCTGGCTGAAGCAAGGCCTAAGTGGGCAAAAGCAATCTCATTTTGGCCATAAAATCACTCTGTCTCTAATCTTCACCCTAACTCAGGACTTTCTCTGTGCCTGCCAATGCTGTGTAATTCTCCTACTTTTCCAGACTCAAAATAATTAGTAATTCTTTCCTCTTCCTTAGTACATTTGTAATTAACCTACTTTTTCTATCCTTCCATCTTTCCCATTTTCTCTGTCTTTCTAGTTAAAACCTGATACTATATATATGTCTTGACCATGAAGAAAATCCCAGGATTACATCTTACTTTGAGTTTTGTCTTGTTTCTTTACTTATCCTGCAAACATTGGGAAGTTCTGGTAAAGTTTCAATATTTGATGTAAGTACTCACTTTTCATCATGAACATAACCTTTGCCCACATTCTGAGAAGTGACTGCTGTGTGACCAATGCCCTAAGCTCGTCTATGAAGGAATGACAGGAATTTGACTGTAATAAGTGTGAACATGTAAAAGGTGCAGGAATCAGCTGAAGCCAAGGACCAATGGAGGAAAAACATGAAATGTGTCTAAGCAACAGCAAGATTGTTTTATTTCAACATGTCCTAGGTGTTTACATAAATATCTACTATGTCCCTGGC